GAGGTATTAAAATAAAAAATACGTCATCGATCATCAGTCAGATAACCACTGGACACCCGGGTCGTGAGCTGAACGTCTCATCCAGTGCGTCATGCCAATTTCTGCAGTAAAGCTTCTTCTAGGACTCCTTGAATGGACTGTGTGAAAGAGGATATTGACAGAGGTATTAGGAGATGTTGAGTGGAGAAATGAGATAGTCCTCAATGGAAAAGAAGGAAATGCTGCTCCAACCCCACTTAAAGTTGCATATGGATAAGAAGAAGCTTTTCAGTTTTAAGAGTAAGACAGCGGGTAATGCGATTGAGATTTCAACCCATGCCCGAAGTTAGGTCTCTGCAACCACGATTTTCGTCGGCGCTAATAAAATTCTCAGGTTACAAATCGAGATTTGAACAGAATAATGAATCTAAAAGCTTATGCGGCTATGCCATACTACATACTTAATACAAATATTTTATTGCATTATTTTGATCGTGAATAGCAAGCAAACTCGTTCGTACATCATAGTCAAATTCTCACAATACGTTCACACGAAAGTCTCTTCGGATAAAATATGAGATGTTTCATAAAAGTCGACGAAATTCGTGGGGTTCAACGAACTCGTTCGATACTGTCGTCCTTAAGCCGCTGGGATCTCGGCTAATGAACGCGAAATGTCTCAAAGCCCATGCCTTAAATGAAACATTGTTTTACGATAGGGTTTGCGTTGAACGCTACATGAAATATTTAATTTCGTCTCTTAACGAGGTAAAAATCTATACTATATAATATTATAAAGAGGAAAGATTTGTTTGTTTGTATGTATTAAATAGGCTCCGAAACTACTGAACCGATTTGAAAAATTCTTTCACTGTTTGGAAGCTACACTATTCCCGAGTGACATAGACTATAAACATTTTTAAAAAAAATTAGGGTTCCTTACTAAAACTCCAATAATGTAACCCGAGGTGTAAAAAAATTACCTAAAATATTCTTTACATCGCATGCCCTGCGAAAACTATTAATGATAGAATAAAACAATGTACTACGACTTTGTAGAACACATTATTATTTACAAAGAATGTTGCGACAGCATATGTCTCACTATTATAGTTTTGCCGCTATAAGCGTTCTATTATTTTAAAAAATAAAACAACGTCAAATATCGTTTAAATTTTTGTTAAAGACCCGAGCGGAGCCGGAACGGCCGCTAGTCAAAAATAATTTTACTTTTAATTTACATTTTTGGATCACATCATCTGTTAAGCGGTGATCTTCGAGCCATTGTTAAACTGTGTATAAAATAATATTGAAAGTGAACAACTATGATTGTCAGAACGACCATTTTAACGAAACTACACAGGGACGCTGCGACTGTCGCATGTTTTCCTTCATAGATTTATTAATTACACGTGAAATAACATAGGCTGCTTTAAACTCCTAAATGTATTAATTATATTTAAGTGACTGTATTACAAATTTAAATCAAATCCTGCCACTTCAAAAAACGATTTTTTTAAAAAGTAATAACAAAACGATCTATAATAATATATTAATAGACAAAGAAAAAACAGTCAAAGAATTTTTTGTTTCTTTTTTCTTTATTATCTATAGTCTTTTTAGGATGAGCCCATTTGTTGTAAATGAAAGTCGTTACTAACTCCCAGCTTATATATTTACGGAAAATACAATAGGTACATACAGTTTTATTATAGCTATCTAAGTGGAACTTTACTGGTGGTAGGACCTCTTGTGAGTCCGCACGGGTAGGTACCACCGGCCCGCCTGTTTCTGCCGTGAAGCAGTAATGCGTTTCGGTTTGAAGGGTGGGGCAGCCGTTGTAACTATACTGAGACCTTAGAACTTATATCTCAAGGTGTGTGGCGCATTTACGTTGTAGATGTCTATGGGCTCCAGTAACCACATAACACCAGGTGGGCTGTGAGCTCGTCCACACATCTAAGCAATAAAAAAAACCCGTTACAACTCAACTGTCGTCCCGATATCCTTTTCCCACAAGCGTGGAATGGTGAAGACGACACCTTGCATTACGTAGCCAGGTAACACGCCACGTACATTATTAGGTATATGTGTGTGACCCTACAGTCTTTTCAATAGTTTTTTTTTTTTTTTAACAGAAATAATATTTTTTTTAAACAAACTTATAAAAAAATCCAAAAAATCAAAAAATGTTCGAAGTACCTACGATTATGATCGCTTTTCGTATATTTCGATCGCAAATACAATATTACTTTTACAGCTCTATAATGAAAAGGGTTCGGCGATTGATCCCAGTTCTGACAATCTGTGGAAATTGAATGTCTCAAAGTAGACAGAAACATTTACAATTTAATATCGGCTCTGTTATTTTCGTTTCATTATTTTCAACTAACCGCTAAACCCCAAGAAAACATTAGTTCTGTGCGCAAAGAAAAACGTCAATATATACAAGCTTAATACTCGACATTTCTCTCTGTAATTAAAAGTGCGCTTTATTTGGTAATTAACATCAACGGTTCGATGCTTTTTAATTGAAATTCAATTAAGTTCAATCCATTGGAATAGTTGAAGTTTTTTTTTTTTTTTGTTACGATATTTTTTTCAAATTGTAAACTTTAATGGGCTTTTTTTATTGTCCGAGCTGGCAGACGAGCATACGGCCCACCTGATGGTAAGTGGTTACCGTCGCTTATGGACGTCAGCAATGCGAGGGACAGTGCCAAGCTGCTACCTACCGTAGAAGAGCTCTCCTGTAAAGTTTCAAAAACTTCCCTTAAACCACTTAAAGCCTTTCATCCCTCGATATTTAAATAGGCGATTAGTACAATATTAGTAGGAACAAGTGGCGTCGATTTTTTTTTATTGCTTAGATGAGTGGACGAGCTCACAGCCCACCTGGTGTTAAGTGGTTCCTGGAGCCCATAGACATTTACAGCGTAAATGCGCCACCCACCTTGAGATATAAGTTCTAAGGTCTCCGTATAGTTACAACAGCTGCCCCGCCCTTCAAACCGAAACGCATTACTGCTTCACGGCAGAAATAGGCAGGGTGGTGGTACCTCGTGCGGACTCGTGCGGACTCACAAGAAATTCTACCACCAGTTCCGTTTTTTTTTTAAATTCAACTACCCTCGCTACTAATCATTATCTTATAAATCAGTAGTGTTTTTTTTATATTAAATTTACTACATTTGCACATTTATTTTTTACAAACAATTTCCTTTTTTTAAATCAACAACCGGTTCGTGACATACAGTTAACAATATCAAGTATTATTTCGTATTTACTATAAAAAAAATTTGTAATTACCAAAAAGATGTTTGAAAATATCGAAAGCGTGATGAATCAAAAAATTCACACAAATTTCGCATTAAATTAAAATATTCACATCAAAATATTCGCATCATATTTTCGCAAGATATTTATTAATCATCATTTTAATTGAAAACTCTAGTGGTGTTGTAGTAATTAAAATGCGCTTATAATAATTAATCCGTTCCCACGAATGGAATAGGCATAATACATAAAGCATTAACAAAAACTCATCACGTACAAATTTACATTAAACTTTAAGACATATTATACAGACTCGTTGATGGAGTAGTTAGCGACCGTGCTGCAAGGGTCTTGGGTTCGAATCCCACATCGGGAAAACGTTTGTAAGATGAACACTTTTGTAGGATTGGTAAGAACGGAACATATGACAGAGTGCGGAACGGAGTGTTAAGATGTGAGTGAGAGAAAACTAAAACACGTCATTAAGGATCCTCCCGATCAATTAAAGGTGCTTTTAGGCACCTCAAGCACCGGTCACCGTCCCCGTCGAACCCGTCGCTCGCGACGAAGAGCTCGACGAGCGAATTAACCCTTAGACACAGCCCACTGAGTTTCTCGCCGGATCTTCTCAGTGGGTCGCGTTTCCGATGCGGTAGTAGATTCTGCGAAGCACTGCTCTTGCTAGAGTCAGTGTTAGCATCACTCCGGTTTGAGCCCCGTGAGCTCACCTACTAGTTAAGGTTACGCTGAAATAACCTCTCAAGGCTATCAGCTTAGGTAGGAATAAAAAAAAAGAGAGAAATCAGAAAAAAAGGGAAAAGAGAAAGACAGACAGAAAGATAGAAAAGCAAGATGGCGAATACGGTTAAAAAAATGAGCAAGGCGTAATAAATGTGTTAATTAATTTTTTATTATTATTAGAATAGAAGATTTTAGAACAGGGGAAGTTTTATTTTATGTGCTGCGACCCTATACTACAGTTTTAGTTTGGTCTTTGTCTGGCTGTTTATTATTTATATATGTATTTATATAAACGTATATAAGTATGTAATATGTCGGTCACTGATAACACGGGGAATCCTAATTTGAGTCGGAATGACCATACGTGATTTCCTCCCAGCTATTTAGTTATTATTTATTATACTATCGAATCAAATCTAAAACAATTCAATAATTAATTATATGTAACTATTTGATTATTTTCGACTTAACCGTTACTAGCTAAGGACCATTATTCGGTACATGAAAATTATCTATCAGACCATCCTACGTTGATGGTATTACACCCGAAAACTATGCACTAATTGAACAAACAAGCAACCAACAAACAATAAAAAACGATAAATTTTAATGTTATTGGTTCATAATATCTATATTCATATCGTAACAGTTTCCACAAGAATTGAATAGCATCGGTGCAATTACTACATGCAGTTAAAAATAATTTATTGACAAACCTTTCAGAACAAACTTTTTACTGGTGGTAGAACCTCTTGTGAGTCCGCACGGGTAGGTACCACCATTCTGCCTATTTCTACCGTGAAGCACTAATGCATTTCGGTTTGAAGGGCGGGGCAGCCGTTGAAATTATAATGAGACATTAGAACTGATATCTGAAGGTGGGTGGCACATTTACGTCGTAGATGTCTAAAGGCTCCAGTAACCACTTAACACCAGGTGGGCTGTGATCTCATTCACCCTTAAAAGCAATAAAAAAAAAAACAGACCCTATTATTATCACGTACCTTTACAATCAGGGCCTCAACCTCCTGGTCGTATCTTAAAGCGAAGTGTAGCTTCCCGCAGAATTCCAATTCGGCACTATCAGTGGACGACTGGCGAACCAACTCGTTCTTATAAAGCTCCGGCTGCATCAACAAAAGTAAATTTATTACATGACGATAAAAATATTCGTGTCTAATGTCTAAAATAAGTTTTTTTTTATTGCTTAGATGGGTGGACTTATATCTCAAGCTGGGTGGCGCATTTACGTTGTAGATGTGTATGGGCTCCAGTAACCACTTAACACCAGTTGGGCTGTCAGCTCGTCTACCCATCTAAGCAATAAAATAAATAATGCATGTGTAGTATGGTTGCAACACAACTCCTTCTCGGCAGAAATAGGCAGGACGTTTGCGCTCACCCGTACATACTCAGAAACGCCATACTAAAAATTAATTTNATTGTATACCTCATAAAAAAGCCATGTATATTATTATATTAGTGTTAAGAATTCTTGTACGTGTTTGCATTTTAAGAGGCTTGAATAAATATTATTATTATTATTTATATATATTATATACCTATATATATAATCTGAATCTCGGAAACGGCTCCAACGATTTTCATAAAATTTAGTATACAGGGGATTTCGGGGGCGATAAATCGATCTAGCTACGATTTATTTTCAGCAAAATGTTGTTTTATTCGTGTTTTCAATAATCAACTCTTCCTGACATCTATTGGCGAATAATAATACTATTTTTCTTAATTGAGGGCAACCAACAAGATGGTGTTATTAAAAAAAAAAACCAGCAAAGCTCGATCATCATCTAGTTGTAATAATGTGCTGTAATGAAAATTTTGTAACTCAAATTTAAGGTTTCGGATACCTATCTCGGTTAGATTTAACGAGTCCACGTAAAAAGCGTTCGGTTGACCGGTTTTACGTTGTCCGCATTTTACGACGTTCATTACCGCTGGGTTCGGTGTTTATAACGCAGCTTTATCGAATACGTTGTTCGTTAAATTGAATTGTGCTCAATATAGTTATATATAGTTTACTGGTGGTAGGACCTCTTAAGTCCGCACGGGTAGGTACCGTGGCCCCGCCTATTTCTGCCGTGAATCAGTATTGCGTTTCGATTTGAAGGGTAGGGCAGCCGTTGCAACTATACTGAAACCATAGAACTTATATCTCAAAGTGGGTGGCACATTTACATTGTAGATGTCTATGGGATCCAGTAACCACTTAACTCTAGGTGGGCTGTGAGCTCGTCCACCAATACAAGCAATAAAAAAAAAGATGCCTGAATCTCCCTAACGAAATTTTTAAGATAAGTGAGCATTAATAGAAGTTCCGAACAATAACATTGGACCGTCGGTCTACCGAGCAATTGTACTCGCTCCATAGAAGATCTTTCCTTAGTCGTCATACTCAAAACCTCATACTAATCAAAACTTCATACTCAAAACATAGATATATACCCATAAACAGTTATAAATGACATTGCGAACTCATTCGTGCATCGTAGGAACGGTAATTGTAACGAATCTGAACAGTAAACATCTTTCTATCGACGATGACGATGGTAGATATCTAAACTGTAACTATACTGAGATCTTAGAACTTATATCTCAAGGTGGGTGGCGCATTTACGTTGTAGATGTCCATGGGCTCCAGTAACCACTTAACATCAGGTGGGCTGTGAGCTCGTCCACACATCTAAGCAATAAAAAAAAAAAAAAGAACGCGAACACCGCCACCGACCTTGAAATATCAGATATCCAATCGTATTAAGTAGAGGTGGACTTATCCAACAGAAAAACTACACGCTCTAACGGGCTCACAATATTTTTTTGGCTTTACAATTTTATCACGTGATTATCAATTCAATGATCGTGGAAATCGTTCGTGAACACGTATTCAAAGCACTGTTCCAGCTATTTCTATCGTGAAGCCCTTATTTCAAATGAAGAATGAATTGAGATTATGTTCTCAAAGTGACTAACTACATCAAACCAAATGAGCAATCATTATTTTTGGAACGAAGTTCCTTATGAGACGATGCGGAGGGGTACCCTAACCGGGAAAAAACGTCCGTAACGTAAGATTTTTATTATTTATGTATAGTCTTAGTATGATGGCTATACAGTGTCTAATGTATAGTCTACGTGATAACGGTTATTATTCATATAAATAGCTGTTTCTTTGTATATTATTATTATAATATATTTTTTATAAATCATTGTGAAGAAAATAAAGTTGATAACTTTGTAAAGTAGTTAAAATTAATATTTTTATAATAAGGAACTTCGTTCCTATCCGGTGATCTACGACACCAGACATCTTCTTTTTTATATATATTTTTATGGACAAACACAGAAAGCAGTTTCCATCGCCCATACCCCTCAGCAATGCCAGGGGCAAAGTCGAGCCGGTGCGTATCTATTTTATCTTCTTATTTTTCCAGTACTAGAATCTCTACAAAACATAATTGACTACCCTGTAAATTTAAAAACAAAAAATATATATATTAGGTATACAAATACACCGACAAAGTTATCAGTACAAATTCAAAATGATAAAAGACTTTAAAGAATGCCTCTTCATATTAAAAAATAAGTAACTCAGCAAATTAACCTAGACGGAATTTATTTCGGAAGCTTAAAAGCTTACGCGGATAAATTGTTATAATGAAAATTGTCTCATTATGAGAAATCTCTTAAATAAGTTGACTGCGAAAATTTTTGTAATAAAGCGAGCTTTGCTGCGAGGAAAAGCTTCAGTCGTTTTAAACTATTCCACGAAAGCTTAGATAATATTTTAACAGCTTTAAATTAGGAGCGAGCTAAAAAAGCTTTCTTACAAAAGTTTCTGATGAAATGTGAGTGCCTTTATGAAATGAAATTGAGTATCCTGAAGCATTAAAATACCCATTGCCGCTTAACATTATACAGGCCGTGCTCTAGTTCACCCATTTAGTGCATAATTATTCTCCTGCCCTTCACCAAGTCACCTGGGGTCGGCGCAAAATGTTTTCTCCTTCTTCTATCATTTACAATTTTTCACACACTACCCTCTTACACATATCGTTTTTCACCTCTTCGTCTAGAGGTAGAGAAAGATTTTGTGCGTTAATAATAATAAATAGTAATCAAGGTATCGATTTAGTTGTTTCCATTTCCTACGATTATGCCTCCTGAGCATATAATGCGGGATATAGTATTGTTCGTAGCCAGAGACCGCTGTCTACAATTGAGATACAGTAAAAACGTTTAATTCGCGGGGTATGTGTTTCGTAAATATGCCGCGAATACAGAAACCGTGAATATAGAAAATCGTATTTACAAAGCGTATTCGGTTGGATAACTTTTTTTTATTGTCCGTGTAGGCAGACGAGCATACGGCCCGCCTGATGGTGAGTGATTAGCATCATGGACGTCAGCAATGCCAGGAGCAGAGCCAAGCCGCTGCCTACCGTTGAACAAATCTACATATTGGAATCATTTATTATGTGTATGTACCGATGTACAGATTAGATTTGCGATCCCACAGACACAGTCCACTGAGTTTCTCGCCGAATCTTCTCAGTGGGTCGCGTTTCCGATCCGGTGGTAGATTCTGCGAAGCACTGCTCTTGCTAGGGACAGTGTTCGCAACACTCCGGTTTGAGCCCCTCATGTGATCTCACCTACATGTTAGGGCGAAGCTGAAATAGCCTCTCAAGGCTATCAGCATAGGTAGATAAAAAAAAAACCGCGAATACAAAAACCTTTAGAGGCGATTATAGGAATTGGGTCGCATTTTTTTAATCCACGTTCAGTGAAAACGCAAGTGAAGGAATCGCGAGTAATGAGTAGCGGTAGGCAGCGGCTTGGCTCTGCTCCTGGCATTACTGAAGTCCATGGGCGACGGTAACCACTTACCATCAGGTGGGCCGTACGCTCGTCTGCCTACAAAGGCAATAAAAAAAATAAAAAAATACTGTATTTATTACGAAAATATTCCAAAGCTATTATTACATTTTTCTGAACATGTAAGCTCCCGATATCTCGACCATTAAACACTCCGTTACGTAAATAGTCGTTTCAAAGTCAATAGCGCTGAACACGGCTCATAACGGAAATAGAATGGAAATGACACAAACGTCCGCATCACGCCTTCAGTTCTGATCGCACCACAATACGTATTGTTTACTTTTCGCTTAACATTTATCAGGAAATGAGGGAAGACACGTCGATCCAGTACTTTTGTCCGTGTGTTCTTCTTTATAGCGATTCTAACTTTTAATACGAGTATTAAGATGAGGTTGGTTGCACTAGAATGAAATTGTTAGATGAAGAACGTAGACGGTTCGCCAGAAGATTATTCGAAAGCTAAGTTGTCTAAACTAGAGATGAAACGGATATCCGGTAACTATCCGGTATCCTGCCTATCCGGCCATGCTTTCACTATGCGGTATCCGGCCGGATTTCGTATAGTAAAATTTAAGAAAATCTCATGGTTATACAAAAGGCAAATAATACCAAAATGATAACTTTTATAATTGTACGTCAAAAGTGATTGTTTTATCAATTAGTTTGTTTAATACTCAAAATTAACCAGTGGCAAATTGTGGTGAATGAATACCAAATCGTCGTCCTACCGAGTCGTCGCGATCTCCGCTTACGTGCGACAACACCCGAACGCGCACGAATATTTCCGAAAGTTGATTTGAAAATTTGATTTGATTTGAAAAAAAAGGGCCGAATATTCGGTATCCGGTATCCGGCCAAACCACTATCCGTTTCATCTCTAGTGTAAACCCCCTTTTTATGACTGCTGTAAGTCGATGAGCATTCAAGACATTTGAAGGCAAGTAAATAGTCACGGTCTCTCGCGGACATCAGTAATGCTCAGGGCACAATCAAGCCAGTGCCCACTGAAAACCTTTTTTTTATTGCATATGGGTGAACGAGCTCACAGCCCACCTGGTGTTAAGTGGTTACTGGAGCCCATAGACATCTACGACGTAAATGCGCCACCCACCTTGAGATATAAGTTCTAAGGTCTCAAGTATAGTTACAACGGCTGCCCCCCATCCGTCAAACCTAAACGCGTTACTGCTTCACGGCAGAAATAGGCGGGGTGTTGGTACCTATCCGTGCGGACTCACAAGAGGTCCTACCACCAGTAAAGTCTAGTAAAGTGTATTTTAAGTTGATATAGAACTTAGCGAGAAAAAGCGGCCTGAATATGCCACTGATATTGCTGAATTTCATTACGATATATCGTATCGATCACTGGATTACTCATAATTACGTAGATCGTATACTCATCTACCTACGAACAACAAAACAAAAAAATCACACACATCTCTCACGTGCATAATTATTATTGTCTTCGAATACAAACGAACACACTTCATGAAGTTCTTGAAGTGTGAGAATAATATCGTCACTAAAATTGAGAACGATGCGAACTCGACTATGACTCCTGGACCTTGCATAAAATATATCAAAGGAAACTTTCTCAAAGGAATTCCGAAAGAAGTGAAAATGAACGCTAGAAAATAGTTTATAGTACAGGATCCCTGGTACTCTCTCTCTCTTCGATCGGTTCCTCACTCCTGAGGATCGTGACTCCGTCCGATTTCGTCAACCAACTGTCTCCATCGATCCCGCCCTGCAGCCCGGTGGAGTGCGTCGCTGATAGGTATCCCCAGTTCCTCCGCTATTTGGTCCGACCATCGTTTGGGACCTCTACCCCTAGGCCCTTTTCCCTCTATTTTACCGGTCACCACAAGGTGTTTCAAATTCCAAATCCCTGGTACCTTTTACATTAAGGATTAGTACTACAACTTTTGAGTGTAGGACCGAGATGACATACCACGCAATGTGTAGGACAATGTGGGTAGTAAACAAAGCAAATGTTAGGTAACCAATAAAAAAAAAATCAGCTAGTTAGTAATTATTTTTCATGACCTTGTTTATGATGATACATATTGGAGAGGGAGGACTTCCTAACAAAACCTTATATTTTGTAGGACAAATATTTTTTCACGCTATTTAGACAATTATCATGATAATTAACAAAGAAAAATTCGGTTAGTAATAAATTTTAAAATTCGTGAAATCAACATACTTTATAATTGCTACCCCTAGTAAGCTATCATTTACCAACGTTACTGTATGGAGAAAGTTGGGCGTCTAGTCAAAAGGAAGCTACTCACGAAAAATCAAAAAAAAAAAAAAAAAAACAGCTTGTCTATACTAATATTATAAAGAGGAAAGATTTGTTTGTTTGTTTGTTTCGAATAGGCTCCGAAACTACTGGACCGATTTGAAAAATTCTTTTTGCATTAGAAGCCGACATTGTCCTTGATGAATTAGGCTACTTTTTTTTATTTATTTTTTATTTTTATTTTTTTGTTTCATGTGTGTTTTAATGTTTCCGAAGCGAAGCGAGGGCGGGTCGCTAGTTAGTAATAAATGATGAAAAGTGTACCAGGGATCCTGTACTATTAGACGTAATTACATTCCGAAAAGCCTTTGACGTTTTGTTAATTAGAACTCTATCTGCCCCGGATCGAATGGGAGATCCATTTGCTTTATAAGTAGTTTAAACATTAAATGTTTTAGTAGAGTTGGGTATAGAGTAAATAAAGATTCAACTATGTTACGTAAACGTATTTTGCGGTATATCAAATTTTGGTATATAATACATGATATTATAAATAAAGTTATATTTCCTTCTGGGAACTCTGCCAACCGGCGGTGAGCTAACGCAGATTTTCTATTTATAAGTACCTTTACCTAAATAATTATTATTTTTATTCAATTATTCATAATTATTATAGAAATTAGAATAGGTCTTTCCTGTGGGTCTTTGTTTATTAGTTTTAGAAGTATTTAGATTTATTCATGAAGTTATATTAGTTAGTGTTATATTTATTTTATTATTATATTTATTTAGTTATATTTATTCATGAAGTTATATCTTGTGTTCACTATTAGAAATACCGACTACGTTGCGGTAAATGTACAAACAGCGTAATCTATAATTTATATTTATTATTAAATTATAATTAGTTTATTTTTATTTTTTATTATTGCTTGGATGGGTGGACGAGCTCACAGCCCACCTGATGTTAAGTGGTTACTGGAGCCCATAGACATACATCTACGACGTAAATGTGCCACGCACCTTGAGATATAAGTTCTAAGGTCTCAGTATAGTTACAACGGCTGCCACACCCTTCAAACCGAAACGCATTACTGCTATATTTGTAACCAAATACAATAAAAATGGCGTTCTGTGCCTTGATTTTTATCGTGTTGTTTTAAAAACGATTGCTTATTTAATTTCTCGTTTACTTTATTGCATCTACATTCTGTATTTATTAAATTTCATATCGTTCCGATCTTAACTCGTACGTGAAAGATTCAAGGACCAAAATTGTTCTCCCGAGTACACTAAATCATAATACATAATAATTATACAGTAATGATACTTTAAGATACTTCCGAAGTCGTCGTGGCCTAAAGGATAAGACGTCCGATGCACCGGTGTTCGAATCTCAGGCGGGTACAAATTTTTCTAATGAAATACGTACACGACAAATGTTCACGATTGACTTCCACGGTGAAGGAATAACATCTGAAGTTGGTTTGAAGGATAGCACAGCCGTTGTAACTATACTTGAGACCTTAGAACTTATATCTCAAGGTGGGTGGCGCATTTACGTTGTGGATGTCTATGGGCTCCAGTCTAACTACTTAACACCAGGTGGGCTGTGAGCTCGTCCACCCATCTAAAAAAAACAGGAATATAACTATTTATCTGTCAGTTGTTTTTCAGATCTATTTCTAATTTGTAAAGTAAAATTTTAGATCGATTCTACTTAGGCTCAAACGTGTTGATGCTACTACATACAAAGCTACTACATACATACATATCGATTAGTATCCTATTTTCAATAGATAATATTTTCCTTCACAAACAAGTAAGTTCTCAAAAACAACATTCGTATCGTTGCCTCGCTCGATCACAGATCTCCCCTGTGTAGTCATATAGTCATATCATTTTCCCGTAATAATGCCTAATAATTTACGCCTAGCAACATATTATTAGCTTTTAAGAAAATTTCAATATGTTGATTTTCCTGGAAAGCTTCGTTATATGTGTATTTTTCCGTAAGCGAAGCTGCACGTAGTTAAATAACTACGTTATATTTCATTATTATAGACCCGCACATAAGATAAATTTTTTTAATGACAAAAAATCTGCATTTTTTTTATCGTCATTCGAGTTTGTATTGCTACCAGTACGGGAGCGAAACTTGGTTTATTCGCAAGGACTTGATAAAAAAAACTTCAAGTGATTGTGAATAGGTGCCTGCGTCAGACTTAGAAAATCTTTTGGCCTAAGAAGATCACTAACAAAGAGCTGTGGAGGATCACCAAGTAGACACCAATGGAGAAGGAGATCCTTACGCGGAAGTAGCATTGGATTGGTCACATACTAAGAAAGCCCGATACACACCTATCAAAGAGAGCACTGACCTGGAAAGTGTCTGGAAAAAGGAAAAGAGGCCGCCCCAGGACAACTTGGCGTCGCTCGGTGGAGCAGGAGCTAGGGGTCTTGGGTATGACGATGGGAGGAACTAGAACAGACTGCCCAAGACCGATATAAATGGAAAATTTTGATTCGAGCCCTAAACCCCAGCAGAGGGTAATAGCAATAGAAAATAATGATGATGATGATGATGATTCGATTTGTTTTGCTATTTGCTTGTGAACCCTAATTATAGACAATAAACCTTATTCACTACTGCCAATAAGAAAACTATTTTGATATTTTAAAAGAGAAATTATTATTCGTTATCTGATAGAACGAGATGTGTACATGATTCTCGATTCCATCTGAAGGGTTCCGGATATTTATTGAGAGTCAGCGTTGAACCACCATTAATAATACAGAAATACTAGCTGGGCCGGCAAACGTTGTTTTGCCATATACATTATTTCTAGGGAAGATAAATAACTTAGATACCAACTGCAGCGCTATCTGCCAGGCTGGTTTATAAATCTAAGCCATTCTCGAATCCGCCTGAAGTACACAGAAAGTTTTATTAAAATCGGTCTAGCCGTTTAGGAGGAGTTCAGTAACGAACACACGCACAGAAGAAATATATATTATACTAGCTTTTGCCCGCGACTCCGTCCGCGTAGAATAACTATTCTAAGTAACTACTTTGGCATAACGCTAAATTTTATCACCCACTTCATTTACGTAGAAAGTGAAAATATTTTTGAATTATAGAATATTAAGGAGCTATTTTAACCCCTATTTTGAAACATTCTTTAGTGCTGCTCCACTTGTATTGGTCTTAGCGTGATGTTATATAGCCTATAGCCTTCCTCGATAAATGGGCTAACTAACGCTGAAAGAACAAATCGGACCAGTAGTTCTTGAGATTAGCGCGTTCAAACAAACAAACTCTTCAGCTTTATAATATTAGTATAGCTTAAGATTTCCTATTATATTATAATCCTAATATTTTTTCTCACCTTGATAAGCCCAATGGACGAGTCAGCACGTTCTAGACTGCAGATGCTAAACTGAATCGAGGGTAGTTCCAGACGGTGTGATAGCTGACGTTGAAAGGTCTGGTGGCGAGTTGGAACTATCGGCAGGGTTGTCTGACGGAGGACCTGTTGAAGAAACATTAATTTCAATACAATAATAAACAGCGACATGGACTATCCGAAGATGCTTTAGTGAGTTTAAAGATAAGAAATTTAGAAGTCGTCGTGGCCTAAAGGAAAAGATGTCCGGTGCATTCGTATGTAGCGATGCAACGGTGTTCGAATCCCGCAGGCGGATACCAATTTTTCTAATGAAATGCGTACTTAACAAATGCTCACGATCGACCTCCACGGTGAAGGAATAACATCGTGTAATAAAAATCAAATCCGCAAAATTATAATTTGCGCCCTGCCTATTTCTGCCGTGAAGCAGTAATGCGTTTCGGTTTGAAGGGCGGGGCAGCCGTTGTAACTATACTGAGACCTTAGAACTTATATCTCAAGGTGGGTGGCCCATTCACGTTGTAGATGTCTATGGGCTCCAGTAACCACTTAGCACAAGGTGGGCTGTGAGCTCATCCAACCATTCAAGCAATAAAAATAAATAAAAAGATAAAAGAGCAAATGGAACATTTTCATCTCACACCTGTTTAATTCATTTTATAAGCTCTTCTGTTCGTCTCAGCGACTAGTGAAACCTTGAGAACAATTTGCATTAAAGTTCAAGGTTTTATTTATAAAGCTTTTCAGTTAGTGCCTTTCTATTATAAGTGCCAGAAAGATAAGTTCACTTAGATTCAGAATACCATAATCGTCGTAATTTACAAAGGTGGTTACTACGAACAGCAATTGTGCCTGGACCTCGTAGTCAGACTTCGAACCTCAGTCCCCTGACCTTGGACCCCGTAGTGGATGGGAAGCTGGACCCCATTTTCAAACGTCTTTAAATAATTTTATTGGAAATATTTGATTTTCATCACACAGAATGGCATTGCGATAGAAAATAACTAACTCGATGGAACCAAATAAAATCATTACATGCGTGCAAGTAAAAATTTGCCCGCTGGTATTAAGTTTTTTATTGCCTTTGTAGACACACGCAGACGGCCCACTTATTATTGAGTGGTTACTGTCGCCCATGGACATCAGCAATGCCAGTAGTACAGCCAAGCCGCTGCCTACTGGTTAATTGAAGCTATAGACATTACAATCTAAATACTGTCATCCACCTTGTATTGCACAATGTCTGACCACCTTTCAAACGTAACACATTACTTCTTAGCAAGAGAAATTGTTACGACGATGTTATTTATCCGTGTAATCATAGTATATTACCAGTAATTATAATAAATATAATCGCGGGTATTATTTTCAACAAATATTCATCCTTCATCGTGAATCGTTCAGTTGTTAGTCAAGGAGAGTCAGTAATATTTCCTCTGGAAAAATGATAAATATTTGCATGCGGGTTTTTAATATATGCTCCCTCTATACGGACACACTATGCGTCTCATCTTTTAGAGCACATATTCAAAATTCTTATTTGAAATTCTTGCTCATACCAATGAATTTCAAGTTACGCTTTGATTTTATGTTTTGTGACCGAGAAACATAACTGTGTTGTTTCTTGTCTAGATTCATGTTCGCGTGTTTAAACAACTCTGTAATTGTTATCATTAACGTGTCATGCAATACAGTGCTTAGGTCACTTTGTATGATACAAGCGTGATATCATGATTTTAGTAATTTCCATTAATGTTTTAGCGTTTTTTTTTTCATTTTTATATACACGCACATTCATAACACTCACACACCGAGTACAAATACTTATGCATCTCGGTATTTTAGAGTGAAAAATGTTATCTTTATTTCCTACTAGCTGACCCGGCAGACTTCGTAGTGCCTCAATAGATAAATAAAAAACCTGAGCTTTCGTATAAAATAAACTTAAAACAAACAAAAGGAATCCGTCCGAGGGGGGACACATCAAACGAAAAACAAAATTGTTATTTTTATTTAATTCCGAGCATTTTCATATTTATCTACCTTTTAAACCTTCTCTGGCCTGCCACATATAATTGAAGACCAAAATTAGCCAAATCGGTCCAGCCGTTCTCGAGTTTTAGCGAGACTAACGAACAGCAATTCATTTTTATATATATAGAGATTTCTACCTGCCTATTTCTGCCGTGAAGCAGTAATGCGTTTCAATTTGAAGGATGGGGCAGCCGTTGTACTATACTGAGACCTTAGAAGTCATATCTCAAGATATGTGAGAAAAAAAAAAGGCGTGCTTGCTCTTGGAATAAAGAGATACACCTTAAGAAATCGCAGATCAAGATATAAAAATGGCAATGAAAATCAGGTCCGAAACCACGCATATAGCGTCTGATATACCATGTTTTGCTACATACTTTTCGCAACCCTGCAAAAATTAAGTACTTAGTTACTGAAGCTGATAGCTAACAAAAACATGAATGCCCTTTAAAAATGAGGTTGAAATATACATTGTTAAGTGTAACAAACTGTTCCGATCTTCAAACTGGGGGTTAATGTTTTTCGCGAAAGACTTAACCAAAGCAACAAAGCGACCCGATACTTTACGTTTAATCTTATTACAATGTGTTAGCCATAGACACAACCCACTGAGTTTCTCGACTGATCTTCTCAGTGGGTCGCGTTTCCGATCCGGTGGTAGATTCTGCGAAGCACGGCTCTTGCTAGGGCCAATGTTAGCAACACTCCGGTTTGAGCCCCGTGAGCTCACCTACATGATAGGGCGAAGCTGAAATAGCCTTTAAAGGCTATCAGCATAGGTAGGAAAAAAAACAATGCGATGTAATAATGGATAACTTCTTCTTCTTCTTACCCTTATCCCACATTTGAAGTCGTCGTGGCCTAAAAGATAAGACGTCCGGTGCAATAGTGTTGAAGCGATGCACCGGTGTTCGAATCCCGCAGGCGGGTACCAATTTTTCTAATGAAATACGTACTCAACAAATGTTCACGATTGACTTCCACGGTGAAGGAATAACATCGTGTAATAAAAGTGAAACCCGCAAAATTATAATTTGCGTAATTACTGGTGGTAGGACCTGTTGTGAGTCCGCGCGGGTAGGTACCACCGCCCTGCCTATTTCTGCCGTGAAGCAGTAATGCGTTTCGGTTTGAAGGGTGGGGCAGCCGTTGTAACTATACTGAGACCTTACAACTTATATCTCAAGGTGGGTGGCGCATTTACGTTGTAGATGTCTATGGGCTCCAGTAACCACTTAACATCAGGTGGGCTGTGAGCTCGTCCACCCATCTAAGCAATAAAAAAAAAATAAAAAAAAAAAAACATTATATAGAACCGGCGCAGGATCGCCTCTTATCATGCTGCATAGGAATTGGCTTGACTTTTGCGACCAGCCGCTGACCTGACGAGAACTCTTCTTGCATCATAACTCCATAAATCCATTGCAACGTAACATCATTGAGAGGTACTTTTTCTCTTTCTTGTTTTGGTGTTTCTAACATAGCCTTTTTTTGGTTAATTTTTTTACATTTTATTAATGTAGATTTTTTTTTATATTCTTTATTAGAGCCATACATCTATTAGGTTAAGTCGGCTAATATAGAGATTCACAATAAAATTTATATTTTCAATTAATTACAATGTTAACTTATTAAATAGAACTCGCGTGTGAACCGCGCTTGAGATCCCGAGATCTCCGATAGCGATGCCGGAAACATTTACGAAACAAGATTACGTACAATTTGAATATCAAATATCGTTTATAAATAAACAAGCTCGGATCAGGTATCGTAACTAGCTCACACTGTGCTATTTATCACTTGAGACCACTACACTAGATGAATGAGAAAATGTTAAGTTTAAAAAAAAATAGTTTAGAAAAAAACTAACAAAATCCGCTTTTATAGAAAATCCAACTAAAAAATTCAAATAAATATTAATAAATTTAAATTAAAATTAGTGTAAGAAAAAATGATTTTATTGTAAAAAAAGCGTGGGGTGCTTTTCAGTATATTATCAAAATAACCCTTCTACTCATATCTGTTCATAAAATATTTATAACTACTAATACCATGCACCCCACGCTTTTTTTTTACCATAAAATCATTTTTTCTTACACTATTTTTAATTCAAATTCATTAAAATTTATTTTCTATTTTTAGTTGGATTTTCTATAAAAGCGGATTTTGTTACTTTTTTTAAACTTTTTTTTTTCGATTATTTTTTTTAAATATTGAATTGTCATCGGTCCTTAATAAGTATACCAAATTTCGAGTCAATCCGACGTTTTGAAGGGGGTTAAAATCATGTTCAAAGATTCCGTTACATACTAACATACATACATCTGAAGCTAATAAAAGCATATTAATATGATAATCCAACCTTTCTAGTAAAATATATTTAGAGCACCTTTTGATTGTTTGCTCTGAACTTATTCCCGCTTATTAAAAAAAAACATATGCATAGTTCTGTTCCGAAGAGTAACTTCGAAGATGAACTCTCATAAGATGACAAGTTATTTAAATGGAGACAGTTTATCGCCACGAAACGCGGGACCGCTAAATCGTACGCTACTGAGAGTTTGAATAGAGAACTTAATTTTTTTTATTGCGTTGATGGGTGGAGGAGCTCCCAGAACACCTGGTTTTAAGTGATTACCAGAGCCCATAGATATCTACATGGTAATTGCTGCCATCCACCATGAGTTATGAGTTCTAAGGTCTCTGTATAGTTACAACGGCTACCCTTCAAAACGAAGCTTAATATTTGGAATAAATATTTTAGTGAATTTTACATTATTCTGACATGAATTTATTTCAGATAAATTACTTTTAACTAATTAAACTAATCAATTATTATCCAGTCTGATAAAAGATGGCGTCAACACGATTTGCCTAAACAATTACAAAACTTATTCAAAGTATTAATGTTAATTATAACGTAATTTATTTTTAATATTTATGCTTATGAATATATGAATATTTTAAGTCATTTGTGTTTTTGAATAATAAAGTAAACATTAAACATCTTTTGAACATTCTCACATCATAACAGTGTCTACTGAATATTAAATATGGTAGAATAACAGTCTCATGTTACTAACAACTAA